AGGGGGGGCCATAGAAATGGAGCCAAAAGTCTGAGACAGGAGATGTCTTATTTGGAGGTATCGCCAGAACTGCTGTTGATGGAGGCCAAACTGCTGTGCTAGTGCTGTAAAGGATTTCAATATGCCTCCATCATATAGATCTCCTAGCACCAGAATACCTTTTTCCACCCATTGCTTCCACAGAAATGGCTTATTTTCTATTTTGTTTTTAACCCAATTCTTGATTTCATCTTGTTTTATTCACTCAGAAGTGAAGTTGAAAACCAATTAATGAGAAATACATCACATGTCCTTCTGTCACCAACTCTTTAAACCAGCTGTTTCCCCTGCATTTTGTCTTTTTCATTTAAAAATCACTCAGTTAGGTTAAATTTTCAATATGCATTATTACAAGTACTCAGACCTTGTAACATAAGAATCACGTTCAGTTCTGTCGGCAGACTGGACCGTTCAATTAAAGACACGCTTCAACAGAGTTATGAATTACAGTGTAATAAGAAGCCAATGTTATTCAGTTTGAAAATAAATTGCAGCTTACTGTGAGCACAGTATTTTATTGTAACCAATATAATATTATTTACTAATGTAAAAAAAACAAACAAAAAAAAAACCTCAGTGCTGTTTTGAACAGGATGTACAGCATATGATACTTCAGTGTTTTATATTTACGCTCAGGAGAAGGTTTAGGAAACGATGAGCTAAAACTAATGCAGTCTAATACGACCATCCAGCATTAAGCTTTAGCTTCATGAAAGTTTTAATATTCAGTTTGTGTTTGAGCCCATTTATTAAGCAGTTGATTGAACTGCATGCTCCTTTTGGACGCTACAGGTTGTGGTGCTGCTAAATCACATTGTGTTGTACTGACATGTGTTTCTATTCACTTGACCACCTCGTTTTAATTATGGTGGTCAGGCTAAATAACAGAAACACCTTTTAGTTTAGTTCAGCTCCAGCACCACAAACTCAGTCATCCAAAATGATCATTCAGGTCTACTGACACCTGTTTTAAATTGTTTCAACACAAACTGAACATTCTAACATTCATGATGTGCATTACTTTTCACTAGCTGTGTGTAATAAACTGGAAACTGAGCGTACATGAATAATCATCTACCGTCTCTGGTCTGTTACTAATCACTTTGTTTTAATCACTGGGCAGATCTGTGTGTCTTTACACACTCAGAATTATTTTTATAATCAACAGGTAGCTTAATGCACTGTATGAAGCGCTGCCAGCACGTATTTTAAGTCCTCCTTGAAAGAATTACATCCATTGGGAAAATAAGCATAATGCAGCCGCCACAGGTGCATTTGGGTCCTTCACTTTATGCTTCCACACTGTGACTGATTGAGAGTTTGATTATGCCAACGTCTTGAGTAGGCTGCACCAGGAGGCAGGATGTAAAATCCCCAAAAACAACCTGTGAATTTGTAGGAAAAGGTGAACTTTAAAAGAAATTAATAGTAATTTGAAGTGGATGACCCCTGCAGCAGAACCCAAGCGAGTGCACTGATGAGACACTTGAGAAAAAAAGGCAGGCGAGGAGGCTATTGGACGCACAAGTGAATGGAATAAGATTGATAGAATGAAAATACATTTTGAAAAACAGTTTCTGATTCAGCGACAGTGAGCAGGTAGGTTGTATTTACTAAAGATGTTTGATAATCATTCCCATGAATCAGGTATTGTCCACTAGGCCTTCTATCAGTCCATTATTTTGATGTGAACTATGAAGGCACTTGATTGCCTTCATTTGCACAGTATTTCTTCTGATTATTACTATCTTATTGTTATTTCGCAGCTAGTTCTATTGATCCACAGCCAATTTGTTTAAGACCTCTGGACCTAAGTGTGATTTGTTATTTGTTTCCTGGCTAAATTAAACTTGTGAATAATACAGGTAAAGGGGAAAAAAGGTATGATTTGATTGATTTGATTTGCCATCATGAAAAAGCTTTTTTTTCTTTTCTTTTTTTTTTTTTTTTGAAGGAAATGTTGCTCTTTAAAGCAGTGGTTCTTCATTTCTTCACGACTGTGACCTCTCAAAGGGGTCCCAACCTAAATCTTGGGAGCT